TGTTCTCAAGTATTCATGAGGGAAAGTAAGGACAAAATCACCTGAAAAAAATATAATCATACAAAAACTCAGCGGTGTTCGCAAGAATAACGTTGGTGAAAACGGAATCCAAACGTGCATCTAATGCATTTTTCGTAACAATATTGTCCTATTTTCTGGTCATTTTGAGAGTTCAAAAGAACCTCCCAAACAATGGAATGTGAAAAACTTACGGATGCAATTCACAATGTCATCAACCGTCAAGTGCGTTTGCGATGCAGCGATTTCTGCGTACACGAAACTGACCTGGAGGATATGCTGAGCTTATGAACTTTAGACGAATCTATCATTTGTGGTGCTCCTGTCCATATAGGCTTCAATTGCTCGTTCTGGGCTTCAGACGTATATCAACCTAGTAGAGGAATCTGTAATTCGTTGGCAATAACATTTTCGGGAAGATTGTTCTTACCGGCTCGTGTATATCTACTTGGACTCTGCTCGCATTCATTAGTAATTTTTATTCTTTATGACTGTCTCTGGCCGTGATCACTGTACCAGACCCTTTATCCGATTAGAACAATTTAAGAATTGGCATACGTTTCAACTCGTATTTTGTTTGGGAGTGATGCAGAGTCTGTGCTGCAAGGTAAAAATGAGAAATATCTATTATTTTCGCACGGAACCACCCATAGTTATATACTAATTTGCGTGAACGTCTGGTACAATCTACATATTTATGAAAAACACCCCAACTATTAGTACGATGTCTTACGAACTATTCAAGCAGTATTTATTTCGATGCCCTGAGATCATGACTAGGAACTCTTCAAAAATGGAAACCAACGGAAATCGCATACACGCCTAGTGTTATGGCCCAGATGCGGTTACTTACGTTTTCCGTTCGATTTCTTTGACAGCTTTCGGCAGTTCCGTTCGACTTATTTTCTATGTTTTCCTTAATTACTCCTCTACTTTCGAGTCATTTACCCAGCCATTGCTTTAAAAAAAACCCGCATTCCTTCCACCATTGATCTACTTTGCTTATATGGCTGAAAGACTACTTTTCCAAATGACCTAAACATATGACGGTCGTTAGCAGAGTTTCAACCTTTATTCAGTTACTATGATGCTTCTTCTGGTGCCGTTTTGTTTTCTTAACGTTGCACTTCATGCATCAACGATTTTGCTCCGTTCACTCTCTTCAATTCATCTGATCAACTGGTGCTTAGTGAGACAATCTATGATGAAGCCTTTGCTTCCATTTATCGTAGAGTTTATTTCACCAGGACCACTTAGTTCATTTTGGCCGCCATTTAGTTATACTGTTGTGATGCGCGTTTACTTTCATTCTCTTCGAATTTCACTTCCCGAATGATAAAGTTCAAATTCATTTTGAGAGGTTTTCTGTAAATTCTCTGAGTACCCGAATAAATACCCATTAATTTTAGTCTTTTTTGCTATTCACATTTGTCTTGGAAACGTTCGACGGCTGTCATTTTGAATTCGCATAGTCGTAAAGGTTGGAGATTAAAACGATTTAATTGGTTTATGCACTAGCAAGTTCTGTCCATTTTATTTTACTACTTCCCGTTGGCCTCCCTGATCTCCTTATCAAGGTCTTGAAGTCTTAAAGTCTTAATAAAGTTCAGCTGTGTTCCGCATACTATAAGTCTTTTCTCCCTTGCTCCCTGCTGACATGATTATCATGCTCCTCGATGACATCACACAGAAGTTTGCAACAGTCTCACTTACACCGACCGTACGTTCAGTTTATGATGAATAGCCTACCGGGCATTTATTCTCATACGTCAAAACGACCATAGCACATAGTTACTTTCTCCCGTTAGGTGGTGATGAAGTGCCGAAGGTCACAGCTTATCACCCTGGTGGCCGTGTGTTCGAATCCAACCACCACCGCCCGAATTTCCCCACTATTTGTGCGGCGTCCGTCAGCCTTGTGATTGACTGCTCCCTCTTCCTGAAATTGTGTATATAATAGCATTTGATAAAATTTTAAAAAATCTAAAAAGATATAAGAAATCAGCGTGTACCGTAAATTCGCAGTAACTCCTCACTCTAGTGTTTCGGTTGGCACCCTAAAGGTCAAAGGTGAGTTTCACAAAATAACTCAGTTTTGGTATTAATGAAAGATTTCATTCAACTGGTAAGATTTGGCAGGCTGCCAAACGAGGTTNCGGCGAGGGGCGATATTCCGTCTCAGCTGCACACAAAAACCAGTCCGTCTGTGCTGAAGCTGGTGGAGAGCAGAAACTCATCAATTCAAGTGTGTTTGGATAAATAGATCAACCAAGTTCCCCGTCGGTAGTTATTACTTCAAGTTCGATGGCTAGTTTTATGCTGGGGTGAGCTCTGTTCAGACTGTGAAATAGGTTCATCACATCCATCCGATGTTGAGTATGCTAAGAAACGCAGATCGTCCAGGTTCCGACTTCACATTTGAGGGTTTAAGTGACTTTTTCGCTCAGATGCCGCTCCATAAACAAGTCGGCCAGAATCGAACCGAACGGGCTCACTTTAGGTGGTAGTGGCCCGGTGGTAACGTCATCAAATCATCACCTCGGGGGACGTGTGTTCGAACCCCACCACCACAGCCTGACTTTCCTTATGGCAGCTCTTTGATTGGCCGCTTCCCCCTTCCATCGACCCAATTGGAGCTCGAACCCCGGACCTCATGGGCAAAACTCAATCATGCTACCCACCCGGTCACCTGAGTATATACAGGAAAAATATTTCGTAACTAGATTTTGAACCACTGCCGTCCTCGAATAAGGTTTAGTCTCTGTTACCCCCAAAATAGTTCAACTCCTGGGATGGAACCTTACTATGGATGCCTTCAAACAAGCGTGAAATTTGATTTAAAGGCTTCTGTGTTCTTCTTCCATAACCACTTTTATGTCATTCTAATCACCCTTCAAGTTCGTGGTACAAAACTTTCGCACGCGGGACAAACAATCGCAAACATTTATCAATCATGTGCAGATTGACGTAAAGAATGAAATAGCTAACTTTATGCAAATCCACGAATAATAAAGAAACACCAGTTGATTATTTTTCACTACATACTCGCACTTGTTATCACGGTGAAACTCAAAATTCGATAGCACATCGAGAACTCGAAAGAGTTCAAGAAGTCCTCGAGTGGGTTTGAGCAGCGCGGTGAATAATAAGGAAGAAACACTGTATGATAATGGCGTTTGGTGTGGAATCATTCACAAACACCAAGGAGTTCCGTTAGAAATGATCTTTTGTAAGCACAACAATGTGATTTCAAGCAATGCAAAACTATCGTTTAGGAGAAAAATGCCACAAACTGTGAATTTCTGAGCTTTCTAAAGACCTCAGCCGTATTTGATGCGTCAGGCCACAGATCGGAGTGCATCAAGTGTTGCACAAATGTTGCTGTCATTCCGTCGTAATGAGCGCGGTATTTTTTGGAGTCAAAATCATACATTTTAGTTGGTCGATGAGGCAATCACCGCTGTACCTTAGAGAGCAAACAAATCGATAGAAAATAAAATTAGAGCTGATATTTACAAATTTCCAATCTTCATTCTTTTTCATTTCTTCTTCATTTTCATATGTTTCTATTGAATACATAGTTATACGATTATCAGAAATAGAGAATCCGACAATCAAAGGGCTACCATTCAACACACAACGAGGAAGTCAGGCAGTGGTTGTCAGATTCAAACACACGTCGCCCGGGGGGATAACTTGGTGACGTTACCGATGTACCACCTTCGCGCTCGTCATAAGTAACTCCGAATAATGATCCCCGTCGGAAAACCTATATCTTAAAAGGTTTTTTCAAACACTTTTGAGTAAAGAGCACTGACTGCACTGTTGCGATACATTTCTTTGTTCTCGTCGTAGATACAAACACAGAAACTTGGGAAGTTTCCGATTCAGCGCAATTCAGTTGTTTTCATTGTTGTTATTCATTCCTGGTTGTTTTACATTTCCAGATAAAACTGAGGAACCTCGCAAAAACAGTCACCACTTTGTCAAATGGGACCATTTCGGTTACGTTTGCACGTTTATTGCAACCATTTTTCATCCATGCTCTGATTCAATGCATGTAGCATCACTTTGTTGGTAAGGTGAAAGCGGAACATAAGAATGATTCAACGGAACACAAATTCACGCGGTGCTGGTGAGAAATTTTCGGGAGTGGAATTACGAAACGCAATACTGCCTAAAACCCATAAATCCTCAAGGGATGTAGTGTGAAGTTACGAATTTGTCAACTGTTCAAGCATGTTATTATTTCCCTTTTGGTGTTTGATCACTTTATCATAATCCATAAATAAATAATGAATTAGAAAATTACAATGGTGCTCAACTTCGAAACATGACCATTGTGTCACTGAATTGTTTGGCATCAGTTATTGGAAGTAAACTTTGCACTTGAGCAACTTTCACGTGATTCACAGATTGACGCATCTATTGAAATATGCTGCTCCAAAAAATGAGCATTGGTTTTCCTCATCCGAGTGTTTTTCTCCGTTATCGTGCGTCATACGATCAAGTACAGTGCATTACATCACCGCATGATTCGCTCTCTCTCTCTCTCTCTNTCCCCCCCCCCGTCCCCCTCAACATCGTTTGTGCTGCATCACGAGTATAGATAAATCTTATTGGATTATTCACCAGTTCCCCCGACTGACCGAGAAATCCATGTTGACTTTCTTCGTCTCATTCAATTCGCTGAGTTTGTTTGCATGGATTCGTGTGTGCGTTGTGTGTGTGCGTGTGTACGTATCTCATCCGATTCAAGTATGGGGGAATATCACAGATGCGAAGGCAAATCTGATCAACCAATCCGGAAGCCCCAGTGTGACACAGAAGCTTCTCATTGTTCGAATGAGTCCCATTCGAGGAACTCACAACACAGTTCCCGTGCCATTCAATCTGATATATAAATTCATTCCGTGACTATCGAAAACCAGGAACGAAGACATTCTCTCATTGTTTAATTTTGGTGAATTATCCGGAACAGCATGCTCCGAGTCTATCTGTTCCAACTCGTGGCACTAGCGGCCGTATTCATCTGTTCCACTTTCGCAACTCATTTGGGAGTAAGTTTTTGGACAGTCTGCCTATTTTAACTTACACCATATCCTGTAATTCCCAATAACTTCCGTTGTTTCCGTCCAGAAATGTGCCACGTTGTTCTGTGAGTCTGGCTATAGGCACAACAGCGGGAGAGAGGTAAACGGAGCAGAATATCGCCTGGTTCGATGCACATTATTTTCCTGTCATGGTCGGTCAAATGAGGTCATTAAGTCTAGGGTTAGCTGATGCTAATGAGAGACAGTATTACTCATATGCTGACTCATCTAGACCCATGCGAATCGAAACTTTGGGCGAGATTTGCACGTTCTCATAAACCAGAATTCAAATTTAGTTTCATCTAGATAAAGTTAGCTATATCTGTGGGTTAGTGCTGACATTGGTACTGTAACTGCTAACTGTGAATAAATAAAGTTAGTTTATAGTCGAGTCTTCACATAACCGCCATTTTGTGTAACAGTATACTCATATCATTAAAGAATAGATTTCGCACAAAGTTTTGCTCACCACCTACTCTCTACAAACAAAGAAACTAATCTGACCACAAGTGATGTCAATGTGACGCGCAGATATGCCCCGAGTGTGTGTACGTCTCTCTATCTCTAATAACGATGGCAAATGTTCCCTACAAAACTCTAGTGTAGATGACTCATGACAACAGTCAATGAGTGCTCTGATGTTTTATAAGTACATCACACACAACGTTATTTTTTCCACTTATTTCATTGGTATATGCTTTAGCGTCTCCGGGCATTAAGCTTTATCAATACAGCGTAAGTGTATACGGTTATCAGTTGCCTGTCCTGGAGGATAATCACGCTTTATCACAATAGACAAAAATTAAAAACTGATCTGTTGGATCGAATCAATATACTGACAGCGAACAACACGCTCACACTGCAAAACCATCGGTTCTGAATGTTTGATTAGCTACTCATTGTCTCGTTGTGTGTGCCCCAAACATAGTTGATTACTCTCGGACTAGGGTGAAATACGTTTTATCGGTCGATTTTATATTCCTAGTGAAACGCACCTTAGATATGTTGTTTGGACAGGCTATTCGTTCCCTAAATGTTCATGTTGTCTGTGCAAAATTTGTCGATGAATTAATCGGAAAAACTGTGACCTGCTTTAATTGATGCTTGAAAGAAACTGTTCAGTTCAGCAACGCATTATAATTAGGATGATTACCATGCCAAAACCAATAGGCGTACCATTGGTTTGCATCGACGATCACAGTTGTATGTCTTGTGTTAATTATGTTTTGGATGAGATTTTGCACTGGATGCTTCTTCTTTCCCCGAACATCTCAATCTTATTTTACCGCTCCTACAGGACACAACTGCAAAACAAAACGAACCACGACTGATTCAGTTTTCTTCCGATTGGTGGAATAAATTTACGTATTCATCTTTTCTACTTTGATCAGTGTTCTCTTGTCCCTGTTTGCTGATCGCTAGCACTGCATTGTGTTGCACCTACAGCGTTTTTGTCATGCAGTTTGTTGCACACTGTCTAATAAATCGTATTCACTCTGTCCCAATTATTTCATCTCAGATGGTTCCCGTCGAGATTGAACAACAAGGCTACGGCGATTTCCCTCTCTGGCTCTGGTACTCCGAATTATCCCCTTCCTACACTCCATTTCGGTCGAGTGTACGACAAACAGAACCGAAGACAACACAAATTGATCAAACTGCGGCACAGAAACGCACTTCCATCATGGACCCAATCCTATTCAAGAAACGCATGTCAGTGTTGGACCCAATTTTGTTCAAGAAACGCATGTCTTTCATGGACCCGATTCTGTTCAAAAAACGCATGTCAGTGTTGGACCCGATTTTGTTCAAGAAACGAATGTCTCTCATGGATCCGATCCTTTTCTGATTGTTAAAACAAACTGCAACATTTCTGACATTTTTGCTTACTAGACAAACTGCCCTGTGATGATTATTTGCGCCCGATGTTTATGTACATCTGACTTCTAATTGAACCTTGATTACTTTCCGAAAAAGGAAAATGGACTGTCAAATACAGCATTTTACAATGATGACTTATCCAGATCTGTTTTTACTGTCAAAGAGCTTCAGCTTGCCTGTCTGGATAGGGAAAAATACACCCAGAACACAGGAGAATTTGTATGTTCCCCTTAAACTAATCACTCCAAGAAAGTCGTGTACGTTTCCCACGTGAGGACAGGTTCACTGGACGGCAACTTCGTTCCATGGGATTCCATGGATTAGCCCAAACCTTGTTTAACGCATTAGGAATAGAGCCTGATTGATACGGTTTATCGACTAGCAAAGGCTCAATATGTTGATGGAAACTGTTGTAGATGAAAAGAAAACGGAATGCCAAAACAAAATGGTGAAAAGAGCACCGTCATCATGAGACATGTTTGTGATCCTTAATCTATATAAGCCTCATCAATCAATAAAAGCTTCACATAAAACAACGGACAACAAGGTTGAACAGTCAGTTTTCAGTACTTTGGTTTCATTAAAGTGCTATTACTAGTTCTGAGAAAAGTAGATCAGTCGAATGTTATGTATAATAAAAGATGGTTTACCCAAGGACAGGCATGTTCAAGTCAAATATATGCTTCGTGCATCAAGAAAAGTGAATATTCAGCGGCCACTAAGTGAAAACAGAACCAAGAAGCCAGCAAAATTGCACGCAAAAGTTGAGGAGCAAGGAAAAAACAACAATTTACGATGTGGGTGAGTTTAGTTCAGAAGCGATGCGTTCTGGGTTACAGAAGAAATCGGGCAAGATAAGGTACCAAAGAAGACTGACGGGCGGTTGTGCGAGCAAACATACAGTTATAACAGGACCGGGTGGAAGAGGTGTTTACGATTATGTTGTAAAAAGATGAAGTGACAGAGACTTTCTAGAGAAATCTCGCTACTTTTAGATAAATGTGTTAATAATCTTCAAAACAACTGAAAGTCGTTCTGATTCATCCCTCAGAACAAACATTGCACGAACAAACTGCAAGCAAAAAGCAAACAGTGAGTCAAGCCACGAGGGACTGAACCAATTAAATCGTACCAGTAACAGTTGTAGGCATACTGATTAAAATAAACTACAATTCATGTATAAATTTCTCTTTTATTTCATTCTTTTTCCCCATATTTTCTGTGAGAAATGTAAAACTGTAAATTGTACGTATCCAAGCATTCTTTAGAAAGTGTAGTGAATAAAACGTGGATTATTTCGGTATGGAATTTCTATCACCGACTTCTTAAAACGAAGCGAAGAACCCTGTTCCTCACCTCAGATATTGTATCCAGATTTCCATAGTTTTAGAGTATAACAACATTTTACTGCATCTACCGGGTAAATTTTATGGGCAAACAGGGACACCTAAGTCCATCGAATGTTGCACAACAGAACCATACCTAAAGGCATTTGGATGTTTAGCCTAACCCGCTAAACAGAGTGGCCTGTTTCATCCATCGCTCTAAGCGGATGCGGTATTTCGGACACATTTTCTTGATGTGGCCAGTTGAATAACCCGATTCAATCTTTCACTGGTTTTCCACACTGCAAACGAATTCACAGAAAAGTTATTCCATTTTTCCACTAACGGACATTTGCACGCTGACTCACCTCTCGAAATACTAAAGCGCAGACAAATAACCCCAACGACGAGTCTTTTGTGTACAGGAGACCAGTCATTCGGGACCATTGTACTTAACATCAGTAAGTTCACTGAAATTCCATTTAGTCTCAAAACCAGTCCGCGTTATCTTTCATTAGTAAACAATCTCCTCGATTTTATAGGTAACACTCAAAGCATCCCCAAATCTGTATCTGTTAAATAAATACCTTGGTATCATTCTAACCCATAACCTGTCCTGGTCTACTCATATCATCAGGGTTTTCAGAAAATTTCGAAAACTGTAGTTTTGTGCAAATGGGCTCANAGGAAAATAACTGGCCGTACCGCATAATCTTATACCTAAATTCGTGCTTGCCCGCATCTTTTCACACTGGCTTTACTGTTCCCCGATACATATCCCTGGTCGGAAAGAACAAGACTTTCCTTTATTTTCCAGATTCTTTAAAATTTTGTCTCACAACAGTGAAGTTGATAGAATTGTTTTAGTGGACTTCTTTATTTTCACTTATCTTGACGCTTTGGCAATTTATTGACAGGATAACAGATGATCAAGGGAACTGTCTGCACCGAGTAGGTCGTGAAATCCCTTTCAAATCCCCGAAGTCGTTCCAAATATCGGCTTCTTCTTGTGCGTACTTCCACGCATAGAAACAGTGTAATTCCATATCTTGCTCGGTTATTGGTTACTCGTCAGACTATTCCCACCCGCCTTAGGGAATAACTCTTGCACTAAATTTTTCTCTCATTTACCAAAATATAGAATTTCTTATATTGTCTTTTTTCTGTCGTCCGCAATCCGTTTGATGTATCCACTGTACGATTCGTAAATTGCTGAAAATTCGCCGGTTTGGTGCCTAAAGCGTTTCTTGACTTGACCGGACTTAACATTTGATCATTGAGCAAAAATTACTTTGCCTCAAGGTAAATCCACATAACCTCCCGTCCCCAGAAACATAAGCAAAAATGCATTGACATGTACTGAACGATTATTGGCAATGATTATCACTACATTTCAGAATTTCAAAATCATCAGTAATATTTACACTATCTTAAGTGTGAATGCCGGTCGAAATGACAAAACTCTTCGAGCTTGGGTCCGCAATTAATCACTCAGGTCCTACTGAAAAGCGTTTCGTAGGTGATGATGAATTTCTCCACGGTCACGAACAGGAGTCCACCAGCAGGTCAACTGTCCAATGCTACCCTGGACCGTGATTGATTGATTGCCATCACCGGCAATCTGATCTCTCTCTCTGTACGAGTGCACTGCACTGGTTCTGAATGACAGTGTCCGTTCTAATTTTCACATTTTCAAATCTTTCTAATCAGCCAAAACTTTATTAAAAATACAATGGTCTAGGTTGTACAAAAATCACGGGCAAACGAGAACAAAAAATAAAACGCCACCACGATTTTACCCCGGAAGAGTTTTAAGTTTGTTTATACCACGGAAAAGATTCACGGGGCAGCACATGTTTCAATCCTTTGTTCGTTTTCACCGGGAATGCGTTCCGATTGAGCACACGGTGGTTCGAACTCGGGTGCAAGCAATCTGCACCCGTCCAACAATTGTCTTTTCTTTTATTTCTTCCTCAGCAGCTAAATTAATGTCAGCCCACAATAAATGTCGTTGATCGAGTTGGTAACTGTTTAGTAGGCAATCAAACACTCATTGAAAAACACGGATGGAATATGGTCAGTCATTTGCCTGATTGTGACTTTCAATCCAGAAGATCCAACACGCTATAAACGTATGTTGGATCGAAATTCTCAATGCAATGTTCCCTTTAAATCGGACTACAGCTTACTTCCCTACTGGCAATAGAAAAGGAAATAACTCTTTGTATTGAAACGAAAAGTGTCTAACTTAATCAGAAAGCCGAGAGTTCATTGTATGCGATGAAACTTATCCGATGATCGACAGTGAGCGACGGACAGCTGTTTCTCAAGAACTACAATCACATTTATGCAAGAGAATAACGCTAAGCCAATGTGTTGGGATCCAGAAAGCGAGGACGTCAAATACTTATTGCAAACGAGATGAAGTAGCGACAATTTTTTCACTATATAGTCCTCTTGTTCAGGTGAGAAAGATTTTTTTGTAAACGTTGCTAATTAGTCTGGGCCAACACAACGCTCGTGCGTTATTTGGTCCACTTTGAGCCAGGGAAGTTTGAGTGTTTGAACCTATTTTTTCAATAACGCATCACTTTTTTCAATAGGCAATTTTAAGGAACTCGAAACACCGTCACGGTGAACAACCCGTGAAAAACTCCATGAACATTTTAGTACTGGTATAATATACATGCGCTACAAAACCTATTTACTAAGACCATCTAAAATGGGATAGGTGGCGGGGGCGTAGTCGTTCAGTCACTGCCACCGGCGTGCTGTGGACGCACTTGTCCGAGTTTCTACCCTTGCCGTTGCCACCCGACTTTGGTGCTATGCAGCTTTACTGCCGTCCTGTTCAATACCACGAATAACCTATGAGGGCATTATGTCCCGGGACTTACGTCACTGGTCTCTATCAATGAACTGCAGGTCCTTGTGACTATGGGGTTTATCCTATCTGCTGTACATTACATTAAAAAGTGTAATGAAAAGAAGCAAACGGATATACAGCCCAGACCTGACCCAAATAAGCTTATGTCGCAAACAAAAAGAATTCATTTTCCAAGGGCGGTTTGAGGGTTTATTTATTCGAAAAAACTCGCGATGAAACGCTCCCTGTCGCCATGCATGTATCTTACAGAATCCACGCAAACACACATTCACATGTTGCTCAAGCAATTTTCCTTTCGAGCTTGCATAAAGCTTCCACAGTTGTAAGTGACTGACTCAGTCTGTCCAAAGTAAAACCCTGACCTGTACACCATGGTAGCGTAAGGGTGAGCTATACGCGTCCAAAAAGTGTCACTGTTGAGTTTTCTTTGATAGAATCATAAAGTCAGGCAAAATCTCGGCCAATCGAAATGGAAGCCATATGCATGAAGAAAATACTTTTTCCTAAATCATTGTGGTTTTCTTCATAAAATTTTATCCCTACTTCTCAGCTATTAAACCGGCAGCAATTTTATCGGAACCAGTAAAATCACAGTACCGTCTCGAAAATAGGAATAGTTGTGGTACGTGTGGCTTACTCCGCATTCATTCAACTAGAAGTGAGAAAGCCATTTGTTATTCATCTTCTATCCGCCTTTACTATAGCCAGCACTCATGCCTTGAGTACATCTTAGAATTCGCGGATGATTTTGTCGTC